ATCTGTGGCTGAGCCAGCATTGGGAAAAATCAGCCTGGAATCGATTGTAGTTTCGATTGATAACTTTTTCAACAGATACCCTTTTTTCGTTGCTGGGTGTACCTTCATTTGGCTCGTTGTTATACCTCTGACTCGAGAGTATTTCAGAAAATACAAGTTCATATCTGCCATAGATGCATACCGGAAGCTCCGAGATGACCCTAATTCTCAGCTCTTGGACATAAGAGATGGAAAGAATTTGAAGTTCCTGAGATCTCCCAATTTGAAAATTTTGAATAAGGAAGTAGTGCAGGTTGAGTTTTCAGAAGGAGACGAAGAGGGGTTTATCAAGAAGGTATTGGAACGCTTCAACGATGCGCCAAATACAGTCCTTTGTATTCTGGACAAGTAAGCGAAAGAAAATATAGAATTTCAAAGCAATATATTCTCCTATGGTGAAAAAAGATTCTGAATCTTGTGTTCTTTATGTTTAAAAGACAGATTTTTGGAAACCAAAAGGGCAAAATGAAAATTATAGTTCGTGCCATAATAGAAAAAAAAAAATTGTCTGATCAAATTGTTTAATTGGGCAAATGCAGAGTTGTTTCTGACGGTTTTACTTTTGGACCTCTATGAAGGTCAAGTAAAAAATTATGTTAGAAATTTGATATGCATAATTTATTTGACCGTTAAAATTTTAAACTATCGGACAAATAATCATATTATGTGACTTGGAAGAATGTACGTGATGCATTTTCAGTGTTTTGCTCTTGGAAAGGACTGATTGGATAATTGCTTCAATCTTTGGTCCTGTGACATGTAAAGAGCCTAGGGGCCTTCCCTGCGCAGTTTTTTCTTGTTTGTGAGGCAAGCTAATTTATTTTGACCTACAAAATGTCTTAATTTGATGTGTCATATTTCATCATCTGATTACACTGTTGACTTCTTCACTTCATAATTGTTACAGAAGATTGAAATATTTAGTTTATATAAATAAGTCTGTGATAAAGGTGATAGAAATTGCATTGTAGACGAACAGAATTTCATTTTCTTTTACTAAATGCTATACACAATTACAAAGTTCATTAGCTGCTTCGTTTTTTGTGTGTAAGGTAGTTTTGATGGTAAATCCATGCGAGTGGCTGAGTTGCTATTTAAGAATGGTTTCAAGGAGGCCTATGCAATTAGAGGTGGAGTTAGAGGCGAGCAAGGGTGGATGGTATGTGTTTTTTTTTTTTGGCCCAATTCTGGCTGATGTTCTTTACCACGGAAAATTTATAAGAAATTTGATATATGTTGGCAAATAATCAAATTCTTCAACCTTTACTTTGGCATCTATTTAATACTCTGTTGAATTCGAAAAATCCTAAATTGGGGATTCATTATTAAGTTATGATAATTCAGTTCCCACCCTTTGATTTGATTATTACCTTAGAATCAAGGTTTCAGGTTGTGGAAAGTCTGTTGGAAGGATGGTTTAGAGGAATGAATTTTATGCCTCTATATTTGCAGGAAATACAGGATAACCTTTTACCTCCTTCTGTGCATATTTACCCAAGGAAAAAGAAAAATGCTTCAGAACAACTTGGTGCCAATGGGGCGATTCAGCAAAATAAAGGCAACGGCAACACTATATTGCCAGATGTCCCCAAATCTGTAGATCAAAAGTTGGACGGTGGACGAGTGATAAAGTCAGCAGAATCCTTTCCAGGTGTTAAAATTGATTCTAAAGCTTCCTCCTCTCCCTACCCGAATGTACGTTCACTGAAACTATTTTTTCTCCCCAGTTACCATTCATTTAAGTACTGTCAATCATTTTTGGATATTTTAACAAGAAACAAAAAGCATGTCCTCGTAAGATTTAATAATATTCTGTTTGTTCATTGGTGAAAGGCTCAACTCCTTCCTCATTGTAATCAATGAGCAAATATGTGGGAGCACGAAAGTTAGCATTTCAATAGGACCATAGTTGGGCTCACACTTGTATACCGTGGCATGTTACTTTACTGGTGTTCTAAATCACACTGTTTAAAAAATAGGGAGAAAAATAGTTTAGGATAACATGGTATATAATATTAGGGTGATTCTCTGGAAAGCACTCCCTTTCAAAATGTTAATCTCTCTCTCTCTCTCTCTCTCTCTCTCTCTCTCTCTCTCTCATTCATTACGCATAATATAATGTATGTAATATTACTTTATTGATTAGAACAATTTGAAAGTCTCAAGATCCATCGAATGGTGAGGCCTATTGAGAAGCAAAGGTCTCTAATAAATTGCCCTATGATTTAAGTACTCAATAATGGCGTGGGTAAGAATGACCATTCTACCTCTGTTTGTGGTAATATTATAACTACGCAAAGACACCAACCCTCTTTGTTTATGGATAATGTATGCACTTCTTTTCTTGCATCATATCATGTCAAGGACCATTTGCATTAAAAAGATTGAACTGCTAAGTAAATGTTCTTGAATAATTTTATTACATCTCTTACTTTTTTAGTGAAAGTCCCATTAGACTCACAAACTCAAGTAGTTACGTGAAGGCCTATGAATAGTTTTATTCAATCTCCAGAATTTCATGCTTCAATCCCACAACTATATAGGGACTTTTTCATGATTGTTTTTATGTTCTTGACAGTACCCAGATATGAAGCCACCATCCTCCCCAACGCCATCAAAGCCGCAATAGCAACATTGTTGGTATATGATTCCCATTCTTGCCTAATATTTGATTGTTTTAACTTGACTATGATATCTTCTGTTTTATGTATGTTAAATTTCTGGAATAATTGAAGCAGTGTTTTCAGTTAGGAATGAGCTACAGAATTATTTGTCACCTTTTCTTTCCTCGGCAATGAAAATTAGTCTTGCAATAATGGATTTATTGCATGTGATCCTAAGTCCTCACTATTTACGAACAAAACCAATCTGAATTTCTTCTGTAAAGTTAAAATAGTACAAAATTCAGTTACACTAAAGAAATAGGTGTGCCATCTATCATTTTGGAAGACACACCAGCCCTAGACTATTGAGGTGGAATACTTTGGCTGGCTTGGACACACCAATACATACAACAACTAAACCTTGCACGCATAACAATTCATGAGCAGAGACATCATAGAATAAAGAGAATAATTTACCAAGAAGGATTATGATGAGTGGTGAGACTTTTACTTCAATGTTCTATTTTACCTTGCTGAAGGATATTGGGATACTCTTTGATTAATGTACATAAACTCATACTGTGATCTGCATTTATGTTTGAACGAAAGAAACAAATAGAACAGCAGTAATTTAATAAAACCTATGGCTGCCTTTGCGATCGATCAAAAACCAACCCTATGCGTATCTATTTGTATCTTTCTATGTTTGTCAGTTGTCAGCTGTCAGCCTTTAGGCTCACGATTGTTGATGGGTGGCTTGGGGTCAGGCATTCTCTCATCGTAATCCTTTTACATATTAGCCATTCCTGGGTTTGATATGTCTGTTTTAATTTTTTCCCTTCAGAGTTCTATGCAAATTTTTGTAGAACAAATATTAAAATAAAGTCAACCTTTAGGAGTAGTGGAGTCAAACAAGAAGTCCTTGAAGTTAGCCATCCTGGGAGGGCCAAATGGAATTTTACTTGTTTCATTATAATCTTTGAATATAAATTTCGGTTTCTTTGTATTACTAAATAAAGATGCTATCATTATTCTTTTATCTTCTTGACAGGGTCCCCCGGATATGAAGCCATCAGCTACCTGATTCTTTCATCCATCAGAGCTTCAACAGTGATCTGGTTAACTATGACATTCTCAACTGGCATCTTTAGGCAGAAATGAGTTTTATAAGCAGAAATCGAGTAGTTGAATTTCTTATATCCACAATTGTATTTTCTTTGTATGCTTGTTGAATTTCAGAGATAGTGAAAACTATGTTCTCAGTTATGATTGAGCTTAGGGAATTAGTTGTCTTTTTTTTTTCCCCGACAGCAATCAAAATTCTTTGTATCTTAATGAATGTACTGCATGAGATCCTTTGTCCTCACACTGTACCCACAGAATCAATCTGACTGTCATTTGTGATTGTTATTCTATGAAGCTGTTTAATAAGCCAGCATGAGAAATTACATTTAAATTGAAATATATTAGGAATTTGTGGTGCGAGCAAGGTATCTATTCTCCTGTGGTTTCTGGAAAATATGTTTTGACAAGTCTTTCTCAGAAACGTGTTTCTTGAATTTCATGGATTATCACATGCAGTTTTAGAAAGCTGATTTTTCTTAAAGAATGACTTCCTTCTTACACTTTGTTTCTGTTATCCATGTATTGGTGAAAAGAAAGACTTCAAATTGGTTTCTCTGAAAATTAAAAAATATGGACTTCAGCATGCACCAACAATCTTTTGGAAGCCCAATGCACCCGTCCAACAATCTTTAGACACAAATACACAACGTTGTCCGACATATCAAGACAGATTTTAAAAGGGAAAATGACAGTTGGGGTCAATTTTGACAAGATAACGAGAGTTAAAGACTCTAAAACCTGAAAATGCCAATTAAAAACCAAGGTCCTTTATTGATTAGGAAAGTTCTATGAACCAAATTTCCCTTGCTGGGTTGAAAAAATATGGTTGAAATGTGTACCAATTGAGCTTCTATGATTTCTATCGTGCATGTAGAGTCTTACTATTAAAAGTCAAGAATCAATATGTCAAAAATGCTTAATTGAAAACTCTTCCAGCTAAGATTTTTATGATCATGCATAAATAAAATTTCCCCCAATGGAGTTTCCACGATCTTCAATTTATATGTTAAGCTTTTCCTTAGCTTCCATCGTTTAAATCAGCAAGGGCAACATGGTCCATACATTATCTTTATATCTTATATCAACGAAAGACTTTGATTCTTAATTGGCATGTTTAAATTTTGGGGTCCTTCTTAAAAAGGTCCATAATTGTCATTTTACCTATTTGAGAGTTGCAACTAAATCAGAAGTGCTGATGCTTTTATTACAAACCGAAATCAGTTTTCCCAACAACTAATTCAGTAACCTGCGACGCTTAGAACCGTCATAGGCCAGGTATGCTGCAAACTTCTTCACAGTAAATTGAGACCCAATGCATAAAACAAGCTCCACGAGATCATGAGGTTGAATACTTGAAATGATACTTTGCCATTCTGCATCTTCATGGAAAGTTGTTGAGTCTCCATTGTGATGTTGAACAGTTGCCTTCGTGTAGTTAATGATCAGAACATTTATGAGAAATTGAGTCGTTGTCTCACCAATGCATGAAACAAACACAATGTTGAGAACCACTGCTTTTAAGCAGCAACCCATAACCTGAGGTGCCTTGAAAAGTACTGAGCGTCCTTCGCCCTTGTAAATGAACCAATCAGGATACTCATCGCCAGGTAAGTGAGAATCATCCCACCTTCCATTATTCCTTCCCAATATATAGCATCAACATTTGAATGACGAACTTGTATTTAACCACTAATAACACCAAAAAAAAAAAAAAAAACTGTCCTTCATTTTAAGAAGGAAGAATGACAATTACTGATTCCAAAAGATTGAAATAATGATAATTAGGCTCCTGATAAAAGTTTTAAAAATATGAGTTGCAAAATGTCAATTCAACCGTTGCAAACAAAAATCTCATTTACAATATAACAATTACATTTAAATGTCCCATTTATAATTAAAACTTTTATATTTATAATTGTCTAAATGCGTATTTTTAACTTATTTTTTTAGAAAAAAAACTTATCAGATCTAACTATTATTAATCCAATCTTTTGAGAGCTAATTGTCATTTACATTTTTTTTTTTTAAGAAACATACTAATAAGACTTGCCGCTCCAGAAGCAGCAGTGCATATGTGGAGTACTTATCACAAAACTCTAGCTTTTTCATCCATGATGGGGTCCTAAAGAAAACTCATTTTCAAACATGATGGGGTAGAGAAAAGACAGGGACAAGCCTGCAAAATTTTCTCTTTCAATAAGTCTGATTTGTCGCACAATCCCATTTGAATTAAAAGAGAATTGTAGGAATCTGTTGCTCTTTCAATGTGAACTTGGTCATGGCCCTCAGATGATGCAGAAGCTTCCATATGTGAGAATTGTGGTGTATCTGAAGTTGATTCCAATTCCATAAAATTTGCTGTCTCATACAAGGCGTCCAAAAGTCTAGCCATTTTTCCACTGAATTGAAACTTTAGTCTGCATTCCTCCCACATACCTCGAAGCCTCGCAAGATTGCCCAGAACTGGAGATAGGCCGTGGAAGCTACCATTCTGTACAGCTGAGAAAACCAGAGATGATATTCCCTGCAAAAATGCTTCACTACGGGACTGGGGAATATTGGTGGGTGACATCCAAGACCATATGAGAGAAGGAAATATATCTTGTGCTCTCCATACCCACACAAGGATACATTTCCATGCTTAAGCCCTTCCAAACTTACTAATGACCTGGGTATTTGTGTTATGGCAGTTTTATCTGCCATTAGAGTAGTCAAGGATTCCATCTGCTCAAAATCTTCTTCTAAATGATCAATCATTGAACAATTAGAAAGAATGAGAGTTTTCAAAGATTTCAACTTGTAGATACTTCTAGGGAGATCTCTAAGGCACTTGCAGTCCTTTAGACTTACCAGGAGAAGATTTTTTAGATCTCCAATGCTCTGGTGAACTGAAATCAAGCTTGGACAATCTTTTAGTATCAGTTTTTCAAGGTTTGGCAGTTTCTTGAAATCAGGAGTTTGTCTTAAGAAGGAGGAATGGCTAAGAGTGAGTGTTTTCAACCACCGCAGAAACTGCAAAATATGAAGTTTCATATGATAAATTAAACAAAATATATGGCAACAATTTTATCATCGATAATGTACTGCTTTAAAACATAGAAAATCACACACAATAATACACCGGGGGCTTCTTCCAAACTAGTTTGAGGCTGGTGTATTTGAGGTCATTACCAACTAAATTTTCCTGATGAAAGTTGTCTGGTGTGTATTTTTATGGAAATCCATGCCAAAAAAGCCACCTCAGGTTTTGGAAATATACTTATAATCGCCATTAAGATTTACATAATCTAGTTGAAGTAATCTGAGTCTCTTCATCACCTTAAATGCCTTGGCTTCAATCAAAGTCTTGCTATCAGTTCTTGGCAATTTCAGAGCTATGCCCTCAATAGCTTTTGTTGCCTGCAAGTACATAGGAGAAGAAAAATGAGGGAAGGAAAAAGCATATGCCTCAAACTTGTTTGATAAGCACATGCTTTTCTTTTGGTTTAATGCATGGTAATGAAGTACACAAAATGGACAAATGATCAACGAAGATTGAAGAGGGCTTTCAAATGCGTACAAACCATACTGTACTTTAATCAGGATTTGTCCTCTATTGATGCTGCAAGGTTAAGAAGAAGTTGTTTGTAGGAGTTATCCAAAACATCCAAGAGAGGAATACACAAGAAATAGTGAAACCCTCTCCTTCTAGAATGAAGTTTTGAATTAGAGAAATGAATTGAGTTGTATATTTGCACAAAAAACTGTTATGCTGAAGTGAGTTTCCGAAAGCATTCTTTTATACACAAATTTCTGAACAGAACGTTCCTTAACCAAAAGGTAATCGAAATCTACCATTCATGAAAGAATGAATCATGAATCATTCATGAAAGAATCAAAATTTCTCAATTATATTAGCTGATTGTTTATGAAAGGTACTTAATCATAAAGCAAAAGCTACTGAGAAAATGTTGAAACATCATCCTGAACCCTGATCAGTTTATCAAACTATTTTCAACACTTCTTACTTTGAAGACTACACCAAATTGAAAAAAATCATCCCTTGACTTTAGAACTTGCCAAACAAAACAGTTGCATAGAAAATTATTACAGTTTGTTCTGTTAACACATGAAGCACTTCTTCATGAAAGCATAATCTGCCGCGTTCCTCAAGGTACTTTGGTGGACTTCCATGGATGATTTCTCTTCCCATATCCCGTATTAAATCATGCATTTCAAGCTTGTTATCCCTACTAACACTTATGGGGCTCCGCTCTATAAGTATTTGTATCCCAATTTTTGCATGAAATCCACAACCATTTAATATTTGTGTGACATATTCTCTGTCCTTATTGATAAAGAAGAAACACATGTCAGGGAATATGTCCTGTTCCATATAATCCTTTAACCCATCAAAGCTTATTCTCAACTTTCTTTGTATCTCATCGTTGGGAATGGATTTTAGTTTGAACAGCACATACTCCCATTCTTCAATTGTTCTCTCAAACAAATGACAACCAAGGACTTCCAGAGCTAATGGAAGTCCTCCACTGTAAACAACTAAATTTCTAGAAAGTTCCATGAAATTTTCAGGAGGAGCTGGTTGTTTAAAGGCATGCCAACTCAAAAGCTCAAGAGATTCACTTTCATTCATTTCCTTCATTCTATATACTTGGTCAGCTTTGAGGTCTTTAAGAAGATGCACATCTCTAGTGGTAATGATTATTACACTCCCTGGGCAAAACCGTTCACGACTTCCACATAATGCCATTAGTTGGCTCAAACTATCCACGTCATCCAATACAATAAGTGACTTTCTACGAGGGAGTCTCTCCTGTATTAAAAATTTTGCTCTTTCACTGTTTGGTAACTTCATAATACTTGACTTGATGATGTCAGCAATGAGTTGTTGTTGTAAATAAACTAGGCCATTATGTTGCTTTGAAACTTCTCTAATATTTGAGAGGAAATTTTTCCCTTCAAAGTAATGACCAATTTCATTGTAAACGACTTTGGAGAGAGTTGTTTTACCACTTCCTCCCATTCCCCAGAGGCCAAATATAAAAACATTTCGTGATCTCTCTATCTGACATTGAATTTTCAGTTCATGAACTTGTGATTCTTCTCCCACAGAGTGATCAGGAACAAATAATTGTTTTTCATCTAACCTTCCAAGAACATGATCAACAGTTTCTTAACTAGCTCACCATTCCTGTCAATAATTAATGTCCATAAAATATGAGCATCTATCAGAAACATCATTTGCAATAATAATAAATGTGACTAATAGTATTGATCATTAGTTAAGCAAAAAATTTTCAGTAGACTGCTAAGGACTGGTAATGGACTTCCTTTTGGCCTTACAAATGGACTAATTTAGCTATTGAATATCTACAAGTCTCATAGATTCATAATAAAACTTTGAAATATGGAACGTGAAATAAAAATCAATGACAGTCAATTCATAATACAAGAGTTAAGCATAAATGATAGGTGCTTAAATGAATTCTACTGGAAAGAAGTGCGATAATATGTAGAATTTCTTTCCTTGCCCACATTGACATGAATGCAATGAAAGTATATTTGTTAATGACTAATAAATATTACACCGTATTACATAAAAGGGTCCTATATTTAAGGCTAGCTAGAGGGAGTGATATCAATGAAATTATGATTAGCTCTCGCTCAAATTGAAATTTTTTAATCATATTTCTACTTTTAAAAATTGAAATTGATATTAAATCTTACACTCTC